GTTGATAAGCATTCTAGGTAACCCCACCGCTATATATATATATATATATATCAAAATATACGGCCCATATTTCTATCAAGATAGACTTAGACCATCTCTAACCTGTCATCCATCATTTGCTCCATTTCAACTCCAAATCATACGCCAAATTTCGATAGGTGAACAGTTCAACATCCTACGCAAAAAAAATTTGCTGCGAAATTTACCGAAGAAGCGTGCGAAAGAGGACAATAGCGAACCAAATATGACGATCATCAAAGGAAGCGTGCAAAAGAAGAAGAAATAGCATTAAATTGGATAAGAATAACTGCATTTTGAAGTGAAAAAATGATTTTTTTCGGTTGAAGATGCCCTTAAACTCATGACATTTCAATTTTTAAGATATTCAAACATAATAAAATAGTAAAATATTAAAAAATAGAATAAATATTTTAAAAAATACATAATAAAAATAACGTGACAAAATTTTAATTATATCCCGATGAAAATTTAATCAGAAATCTTTGATTTTTTTTTTCATTATATATATATATATTGTTGTAGAGGTTTAATTTCTTGTACATACTTCGAACACAAGAATTGATCTGCACAATATCCTTCTTCATATCAATAGAAATTTGCAATAAAATGTGGCAGCCTTCTTTTAACAGAAATTTGATATCCATTCTGAAACTTTCGCACAATTCCAACAATAAAAGTATAAACAGAACTGCAAAAAAATATTGTTGTAGAGGTTTAATTTCTTGTACATACTTCGAACACAAGAATTGATCTGCACAATATCCTTCTTCATATCAATAGAAATTTGCAATAAAATGTGGCAGCCTTCTTTTAACAGAAATTTGATATCCATTCTGAAACTTTCGCACAATTCCAACAATAAAAGTATAAACAGAACTGCAAAAAAATTCATCTCACCTGCAGTTTGCTTATTAGCAACTACAACACATTACTGTGCAATAGCCATAACATACTTCAAAACACTTAAATAACCAATAATCCAACAATTGGTCCTTCAATGGCAATGAAAGAGAAGGCCAGTTTATTATTAGACTGCAATGAGCATCATTTGACATGGCTCCAAAGTGCATCGGTGCTCTGGCTCCGCCGCATAGCTTCACTGAGTAGCTTTTTGCCAGAATCTAAGTGCCGATTAGTTGGTTTGGTAGCAGGATGTAGCAGATGCGTGCGTGCATGCCGATCCTTGGCCAGCTTCATCGACGTTACCTCGCCATGGCTTTGCCTTCCAAGGTTTTTCGTCAACTTGTGAAGACCTGCAGAGCTCATGGACGCCTTCAGTGGAGGTTTGTGCTCTGCTCTGATACTTCTATCGAAGTGAGGAGCAGAAGCAGCAGCAGCAGCAGCAAAATTGCTACGGCCTGAAACTTCTTTTGAGCCCTTCCTAATGGCCTGCTTATTGTAGTAAACTAGATTAGGAAGAAGGCCTAGAAGAAACTTCTTAAGCTGCTCATCTCCAACGTTTATCTGGGCAGGATTACCCTCAATATTTATTGCTTGCATGGAGCTGTAATTAGCTGCTAGCTGCCCAAGGCCTTTAACAGTAGAGATTTTATTGAACCGCAAGTCTATTATATTCAGTTTGACAAGACGGTGAAGGCCTTCGACCTCACTGATCTTATTACCAGCTAGATACAGTTCCTTAAGGGAGGTACAGGAAGATAAACCTTGCATGAATAAACAATGAAGATTATCAGAAAGACATGAAAGGTAGGACCTGGATTGTAGTCGAAATAAAATAAGCAGCTTAAAAGGAAGAATGGAATAGAAAGTCAGCTTTGGAGTTACACATTACTGTATATTAACTAGTTTATAATGGGAAATATCAACGTTGGTTTTAATTCAGTTCATTAAGGTTCATCAACAAAAAATGTGAAAAGATTCATGCAAAATAAACCAATAAACTAAAGGTTATATTGAAGATAACAGGAAGTAAAATGGCTGTAGAAAGCAAACAAGAATGACACAATAAGTGCATTAAAAAAAAAACTAAGGTATTAAAATACCATGGCCAATTTTAGTTATTCGGTTATAGCTAAGGTCCAATACACGAAGGTGCGAAAGATCACGGAGGCCTTCAATTGTGGATATGTTATTCTTTGATAAGTTCAACATGTGGAGACCTTTAGGAAGAGATCCTGGAGTTACCCGAGCTAGGAAAAAAACAAAAGAATATCATGAACAATTTATGAAGTAGTCGGTAGAATAAGATATTAACATGAATAAGAAAGAAGCACAGCATACCTATAACATTTCCTGATAAGTTAACTACCCTCAAACTGACAAATGGACTTAGAACAGGGACTGTGACCAACCCAAGATTTGCCATCTGCGTTGATGAGGATGTGGAAGTTAAGGATGAGATACGATTGCGAGGTACTTCGATGGCTTGGAGACTTCTAGCATCCGGTTTCCGAGAATCCACAGAAATTTTGGGATCTTCCTTGCAAACATTAGCCGATCCCTCTCCTGGTTCTTCAACAATGAAGTCACCGCAGATTTCTATCTGGCTAATCCAATGTTCTACTCTCTTCATGCTGAATTCCTCCGGGGTCAGTTCTTCCCAGTTGTAATGAGAAGTTCCTTGCTTGATCTCAGCATCTTTTGCTTCTAATTTTCTTGAGTCATCTGCAAAATAAATGTAGAAAATGATTTTTGAATTGTATGCAGCTTTCTTTAACCCAAATCAAATATCAAGCTCAATGTTTACCATCACTATCCTGATCGTTAACCATTTCACTTCTAACCAAACTGAGGCCTTCTTCTTTTGCACGAAAGTAACAAGGAGCTTTCCCCTCACCATCAGAATTTGGGTTTAAGTAAGAGGGAGAAACAAAGATAGTTTTTTCATTGTTGATGCCAGAATCAAAATATCTTCCATGATTTTGAAATTCAGCTCCCAGTCCTCTGAAGTTATGCAGATCCGAAAAGGAATGAGATCTATGATAGGTAAGTCTATGACTTATAGCATCTTCACTGGATTCAGACACATTGACCTTCAGGTTGATCACAGAACATGATCTTGATAAAGTAGGAGGTTTCTTGGAGGAACATCTAGAGATAGCAAAATGATCAGCACTCTTCTCGGCAATATCGGCAAGCTGATCATGATCAGACTGCTTTGAATTTTCAACAGAGTATAGAGAATCATTATGTATGGAATCCGTAAGAAAATCATTTTTCTTTTGCTTATTATGATAACTCTTTCCATAATTTTCATGGTGATTGAACTCGGAAGAAATAGTATCCCCAAAGGAATCCCTAACTTCCTTCGTATTCCAATCATTCAAGTACTCACGTGAAAAGCCATGATCAATATCAACACCCCCCATGATATCATCGCCATAGAAATCACTTTCTTTCTCCATCATGTTTCCAAGAGAATGACTCTTTTTGATCTGTACAGTTCGAATTATCACTTCACTAGCCTCAGAAAGCTTAGCTTCGAGATCTTCTGATTGCCAGCATTCCTTCTGAAAGCATGGAGATATATTTCGGTCCACAGTATTACAGGAAGAATTACTGCCAGCCATAGGATTTGTTTCTATAGATCCCGTAACAAGCTTTATAGATTGATCCTCAGTCACACTTTGACAATCAGCAAGCAACTTCCCTACAGATTGTTGAACTACTTTCTGCAGAAATGGGGGAGATAGCCATGTTCAGCACGTAATGGTATTTTCAACTTGTACATGAAAGAAAAAGGAAAATAAGAAAATCTAGCATACCTTCGATTTGTTGGCGGGAGTGGAGAAGCAGGAGAACCTAACCATCATAATTAGAAAAAAGGAAAATTCTTCGAGCAAGTGAGGTTGTTTCTTTTTGTAGTGCAACTAAGATACTGAGAAGAAATATCAAACATATCCTGACAATTGTTGAACAATAGCCAGAAACACATTACTTATTACCTCGTACCACAATGACTAGCTAGAATAGTAACACTGCTCTACACTCATTGCAATCTTAATCACCACTGACATTAACCATAATCAAGCGAGCGTCCCTCAAAAACACGGCAGAGTCTCCAAACATTGGATGACTTCGAACCCAATGGCAAGAGTAAGGCAATCACCCAGTCATTATGGTCCCACACCCACTTGGAGGTGCAAGAATAATATAATTCTTCTACAGCGGCCAGGCTGAAAAGAGAACTTGATCAACTAGAGGGATAAAATGCCAATCACATATATCAGGTGCAAGCCTGCAATATCAATTTGTAAGTTAAAGCTCTAGGAAACAAAGCAAAGTACCATGCCATTCATATCTTGACCACGATAAGCAAAAAACATAATAGTTTCAATATATAATGTAAATTTGAAAAAAACAGAGAAAATCAGTAGTCTCAGGTTTTATTTGGAACGGTTTTTTTTATTGCTTCTTAAAATAGCTTTCTAGTTTAATTTTTGTACTAAAAAACTGTTTTAAGAAGCAATAAAAAAACTGTCTCAAACGAAGCCTTAATACATAAAGACACGTTACCAAAAAAATACAAATTGTTAAAGTAGAGAAATTAGAGCGGCTAACTGAATAAGAAAGAAACTTGTTAAATTTAGAGAATTGGAGAGGGAAAAGACTTAATTTTATTGCACAAACTTGTCTCTATTTATAGATCTATACAAGATATCTTAATAAATAAACAAATAATTACATAATAATGCATAATTGCTCTAACATAATCCTTCATAAATCAACCATCTAATTATGGAAGGAGATCAACATGATCCAGGTGAGCCTCCCATGAATTCCCATCTTAGCTGTGGGATCAAAATGCCAAGAGAAGGCTAGGACTTAATAGGTGATCCTCCCATAGATTCCCATCCTAGCTGTGGGATCAAAATGCTAAGGGACGGCTGGGATTTAACACTCCCCCTTAAGCTGGGGAATACAGATTCGTCATTCCCAGCTTGATAATCAATCCCAGAAAGATAGAGTTATCGAGTCTCTTGGTAAGAATATCTACAAGTTGGTCTTTTGATGAGACAAGTTCGATACATATAAGACCACTGTCTAATTTTTCCTTTATGAAATGCATGTCCACTTCTATGTGCTTGGTCTTATTATGTTGAACCAGATTGTGAGCTATGTTGATTGTTGATTTGTTGTCACAATGTAGCTTTATGGGTCCTTCCCACTTGATCTTTAGATTTTCTAGAATTATCTTGATCCATAATAGCTCACATATTCCTAAGGTCATAGCTTAATATTATGTTTCTGTACTAAATCTTTCCACCACATTCTGTTTCTTGATTCTCAATGTAACAAGGTTTCTTCCGAGGAATGTGCAGCATCCTGAGGTAGATCGTCTATCTACTGGTGATCCTTTGTAATCTACATCAGTATATGCTTATGGGGTTATTCCATAGTCTCTTCTGAAGAGGATCTCTTTGCCTAGGTTCCCCTTAAGATAGTGCAGTATTCTGTCTACAACATGTATGTGAGTCTGCTTTAGATCTTGCATGAACTGGCCGACCATGCTTACAACAAATGTTATATCTGGTCCGGTGTGGGATGGGAAACGTAGATCAATTTTCCTACAAGTCTCTGGTAAGCTCCTTTATCTACAATTAGATCTTCTTTAGCTTCCCCCGATTTGAGATTTAGTTCTACTGATGTTGGTGCCGATTTACAAGCTAATTTACTTGTTTCTTTAAAAAGATCATTAATGTATTTTTATTGCGAAATAAATATTCCTTTGCTGGAGTGGGCCACTTTAATTCTAAGAAAATATTTTAATCTATCAATATTTTTTATTTCAAACAAGACATTTCTTTAGAATTATCTCCTTTTCATCATTCCCAATCAAGATGATAACATCCACATAAACTAATAAAATTGTGACTTTCCATGAGTGTAAGTGCTTGAAGAATAATATATAGTCTCTTTGGCTCAGCCGATAACCATTAAGTAGCATGACTTTTGAGAATATTCCAAACCAAGTTCTAAGTGATTACTTTAGCCCATATAGAGATTTTTTAAGCTACACACTTTGGTATCCCCATATTATTCCTTGAATCCTATTAGAATCTCCATGAATATTTCTTCCTCCAAGTTTTCTTGTAGGAATACATTTTTGATATCCAACTATTCAAGATGCTAGTAATAATTAGCTGTTGTGAGAGTTGGATCCTCACGGTGTTCATCTTGGCCACAGGTGCAAAAGTTTCCTAGTAGGCAATCACATACGTCTGAGTGCACCCTTTCTCCACTAGTTTTGCCTTATACCTTTCCAGTGTACCATCAGCTTTGTATTTCATAATTTTATTGCACAGACTTGTCCTTATTTATAGATCTATACAATATATCTTAATAAAGAAACAAATAATTACAAAATAATGTATAATTGCTCTAATATAACCCTTCCTAAATCAGCCATCTAAATATGGAAGGAGATCGGTGTGATCCAGGTGAGCCTCTGTTACCCCGCTCCGCTGCCCCCCCCCAGCCGGTCCGCACGGGACCGGCAGTTCGCGACTGAGGCGGGATCTCCGCCTCATGCGGAGATCGAGCGGCCAGTCCGCCCCCGTAGAGCCGTTTAGGAAGTTTTTTTGAGAGGGAAATTTGAACGTATGGACTGTTTAGGGAATTCCTTTTGATTTGTATGCATTAAATAGTTGATTTTGTTAGGGTTTGAGCATCTGGAATTTGGCTGGAAATTTGAGATCTCTTAGATTTAGGTTTTCTTTGGGCTCTAGCGGCGTCTAGAGATTTGGGAGAGATCGATCCTCCTCTCGAATTGAGGATCAATTGTATCTTGCTATTTTATTCATCGACTAGTGGAATACAAGCTTTTCTTTGAGTTTCTCAGATTTTCTTGTGTTTTTGCTGTTTTTCTGCTGTGGACAGCAGATTTACTGCTGTTTGCTCTTCGTTTGGTGTTAGGATTGCTTGAGAACTCAAGTTTACCCTTAGGGTTACTTGTGAACTCAAGTATTTCCTATCAGCCTCCTACATATTCCCATCTTAGCCGTGGGATCAAAATGCCAAGGGACGGCTAGAATTTAATAGGCGAGCCTCCCACAAATTCTCATCCTAACCATGGATTAAAATGCCAAGCGACGACTAGGATTTAACAAAACTAATTTAATGTTTATGCAATGACATGATGACAATAAAGACTTTTCACAAAAGTAGCATTCATCAACCCCAATTTAGTTCTAGTTGACAGAAGATGCCCGGTAAGCTTGTACTAGTTTTTCTTTTGCATCATTGGCGAAAAAACAAATGCCACATAACAAGTAACTAGAAATTCTTATTTTTAATTCATCAGAGTAGCCTTTTGTGATCACTTAACTAAGTAAAGCATTCTCAGGCTCTAACTACAAAAGAAACAAGATTTTTTTTTCAAGTTTCATTTAAATTAAATTTTTTGTTAGGCCAATCCATAGCAGCGACGGGGTGCTGTGGCCTAACCTGATGCTGTCCATCAATTGGATCTTTCTACAATTAACTTACCTCTCCCGAAAAAAAAACATGTTAAATAGCTGATGTTCTGAAAAAAGTACGATGCCTTCTCAGTTTCCATCATCTTAAACAGAAATCTCATGTACAAACATGAAAATATTATATGAATATTTTAGTAATTTCACATCCATAGAGCTTTTGAAACACTTCTAATGTGCTTTCAATAAACGACTAACAATGGCCTTCTGGCCGTTAAACCAACAACTCGGTAATAAGGATCAAAGCCAATCCACAATATGAGTAAAAAAATTTTAACTGCAATGCATTTGGCAGTCGAATAGATATGGGAAAAAAAATGCTATAATTGGTTAAAGATGCAACTAAGTTAAGAACCTGAACGCTGAATAAACGTATAATTTGTGAGGTTTGTAAAGGAGTTCGCAACTGTGACCTTATTACAAATGCAGTCATGGCTATACCAACTCTTCGTTTCATCACAACTAAAATCACAGTGCACCACATGATACTTTCAACAACTACAAATCATTTCTATAAGCAGCCTCTCTTATTTTCCTACGTCTATACAGTGCTATGCATGACTGTCTTTTTCTCATTTTCAGATGCAAGCATAGAGGTTAAAGTTGAAAATCCACAAAATTACTCATTGCTTGCATTTTAATGTGCCAACAACGTACTTAGACATTTAAATTTCCTTGTCAGTACTGAATTATCTGCATTGAATCGTTGCAAAACTCAGGGAAATGAACTTTGATAGATATTTTCTTATATAGTGATTATCCATGTAGATATGTATAAAACATAGATTTTCTTTAGGCCTGTGTAAATTCTATGTTTCTTTTAATTTTTTATTCAATCGAATGATAAAATGTAGCACCTCCCAACACAAAGAAATAATGATTTCAATTACGTCACTCCCAACATTTAAAAATGCAAAATAATAATGAGCTGTGAATTAAAAAGTCCTAAATAGATTATAACTGTTAAATTCAAAAAATTGGAGAGGGAAAAGATTTAACTTTATTATACAAAACTATTCCTAATTATAGATCTATACAAGATATCTTAATAAAGAAATAAATAAATACATAATCATGCATAATTGCTCTAATATAATTATTCCTAAATTAGCCATCCGAATATGAAAGAAGATCAGCGTGATCCAGGTGAGCCTCCCACGGATCCCCATCATAGCCGTGGGATCAAGGGCAAATGGATAGTTGATATTTAACAGCATGACCCAGGTGAGCCTCCCATGGATCCCCATGTTGGCCCTGGGATCAAGGGCCAAGGGACGGTTGGGATTTTAACACTCCCTCTTAAGCTGGGGGATACAATTATGTTATTCCCAGCTTGGTAATAACAGCAACAAGGGAAGGCCGGCAATGAAGGCATGGCGGTAGAGAAAAACAATTGTTTTAGGGTTGCGACAAGCTTCAAGGACAGCAGCAGAAAAAAACGCCTCAAACAGCTCAGCACTTGGCATGCAAATCTCTTCCCGTCCGATCGAGCCAGATGGGTCTTTGGGAAGGGGGTATTGTTAGACGCTTCCGTCTGTTGAGTCGGAACAGGCTTCCACCTGTTTAGGCGGAACAAGCTTCTGCTTGTTTAATTGGGGGTGGGGCCCAACAGTTCAACAACAATTATGGGCAACAATTAAGAGGAAATTAAAGACGGTATTAGGAGGGAAATTCAAATTAGGAGGGCTATTTTGGCATTAATTATATTTTGTATGCTTTAAATATATTGTTTACCCTAGGGTTAGATTTTATGTTGAGTTTGCTAAAATTTTGAGAGTTCTTAGATTTTGTTTAGGCTCTAGCCGCCAGCTAGAGATTGGCAGAGCTAGATCCTCCTCTCCAATTGAGGATCCAGCTATATCTTGTTATTTTCTTTCGAGTTCTTGTAATAAAAAGTTCTGAGTTGTTTCTTCTTCTAGATTTTCCATTACAACTCACTGATTTGATTGAAAAAAGCACATAGTTCCTATCAATTTGGATGTAAGAGCCCTTGATTCTGATCAAATTGGTATTAGAGCAATTTTTTGGGCAGAAATAGAAGTCTTTCTCATTAATTTCTATTGTGTATCCTCTCCGATTGTGCAGTTTTTGCAGTTTGGAGACCAGATTCGTATCAAAGTTGTTGTTTTTGGCTATTGGAGCCTAATTCTGAGTACCTGTAATAGAAAGAAAGGTAGAAGTGTTGAAAGTGAAGATTGGACAATTGAAATCTAAAATTCAGATCTTCAAACTCAACTTTCAGATGTCAAAAGTCAAATTTTAGCTATCGACGAGAAGACGGATGAAAATTTTTCCAAACTGGAAGAGATGTTGAAGAAATTGCTCGAGGGCCAACCCAAAATTGCGTCGTCGGAGGCGACGGAAGCCTCTGACAACCAAGGAAGTGGGAAGAACCCTAACCCAATATGACGAAGGGAAGATCAAGAGGTGGAGATTCGAGAGGGAGAAGAGAGAATGCCTCCTCCAGAACCTATTCCTAGGGAGGAGCCAGGTAGAGGGTATGGTGAGAGGCATGAGGAGATCGGGCATGAATGATGTGGTGTTAAATTTGAGAGGATATTGGCGGAATTTGAAAGGGCAAGGGCTAATTATGACCAAAGGGATGCTGAATTTGAAAAGAGATGGATTGATTATGATCCAAGGAGTGCTGAATTTGAAAGGAGAATGTGGGAATATAATAAAAGATTTGGGTATGATTGTAGAAAGGATGATTGGGACATTTGGGGGGGAACCACTCCCTTGTGGAATGAAAAATTATGGAGGAAACATGGGGAATGTGAGAGATTTGAGGGTTAGGAAGCTGAAGATGCCTATTTTTGAGTAGATGATGCCCATGGGTAGATTTAAAAGGTGGAAATGTATTTTACCGTCAATAGGTTGATGGAAGAGGAGAGACTGACGGTAGCCGGGATGTGCTAGTAGGGAAAAATTTTAGCATGGTACCAATGGAGGGATACGAGGTGATCTATATAGACCTGGAGGGAGTTTAAGGATTGTTTGTTGAAAAGTTTTCGAACCAGCAGAGGAGGTGACTTCTATTAGCAGTTCTTTGCCATGATGCAGGAGGAGACAATAGTTGAGTACTGGGAGCAGTTTGAGCACTTGACCAACCGACTTGATCGACTTCCGGGATTGTACTAGAGGGAAACTTTATGAAATTGTTCAAACTAGAGATTCGGGTGGCGGATAGAGTGATGAGTCCTCATGATTTGGGAGAGGCTATGGAGCTAGCTCAATTAGTGGAGGATTAGAGGCATCTAGAGAGAGGGGTTGGAGGTAGCAGCTCAGGAGGTTTGCACAGGATGATCATTACCTTTTTGGCATCAAAGGAGTCGACACCGGGTACTCTTAAGGAGATCTGAAAGAGAAAACTGTAGGAGAAAGACTAGGGGAAAACTTCAAGAGACTTATAAAGACAGAGCTACAATAGAAGATGACGAAGGGGTTGTGTTTTAGATTTGAGGAGAGGTATACACCAGGGCATAGGTGTAAGGACCAAACTCTTTAGATTCTCACCGTTTGTGATTATGAGGAAATTGGCAAAGAAGTCGTCTTTCCACCTTGAGAACAAGGCGGGGTCTTTGAGAGGGGGGTATTGTTAGACACTTCCGCCTGATTAATTGGGGGTGGGGCCCAGCAGTCCAACATCAATTAAGAGAAAATTAAAGAGGGGGTTAGGAGAGAAATTCAAATTAGGAGGGTTGTTTTGACATTACCTATATTTTGTATGCTTTAAATAGATTGTTTACCATAGGGTTAAGTTCTATCTTGTGTTTGCTAAAATTTGGAGAGTTCTTAAGTTTTGTTTGGGCTCTAGCCGTCGGCTAGAGATCGGGAGAGCTGGAACCTCCTCTCCAATTGAGGATTCAACTGTATTTTGTTATTTTCTTTCGAATTTCTTGCAATAAGAAGTTTTGTAGTGAGTCTTCTTGCCAATTTTTCATTCTGGTTCGCTGATTTGGTTGAAAAAAGCACATACTTCCTATTAATTTTGATGTAAGAGCCCTTAATTCCTATCAGAAAGTTCCTATATAAAATAGTCACAATAATTAATTTCACAGTAACAACTTGGAAACCTTTTATTAGGGATTTAACAATCTTACTTTAGTAAAATATGCATGACAAGTTGACAACAATGCTCCCCAAACACGAAATGATAATAGTTCAAGGATTTTACCCAATAATAATAATAGACACAAGTGAAAGAAATACTCAAATTACTTGGCCCAAGTGTTGCTAAAATTATTTCTCCATTCGATTTGGAATTAGCTGTTAAGTAAAAATAGTAATAACATTTATTTACGTATTTTGTTACTCAGCCTTTTTTATTTTATCCAACAAATCATTAGTTCCCAAAATAAGAAGAAAAATTTCCATAAATGCCTCTGATAATTTTAGAAGAAATAAGTCTGAAACTTAATATCATTTGATGTCCATTAAGAAAGTGATTTATTCCTAGTATAAATATTAAATTTACAGAGGAAAGGTAAGACTGATTTCTTTAAGCCACCAATGTTATGTCTAAAATTACAAAGAGCATACCTGGTGCAAACGAGGTATGTCTTTACAGAGAAAAGCTAAGACTGATCTCTACAATTATAAAGAGTACATCTACTGCAAACAACAAGAAGCTATTCTCAATATAGGGAGGGGAATGGATTGATATATATAGTATTACCCATAAACTGTAGATAAATTGTTTTTTACCTTCACATGACAATGGAGGAAACCTAAACAGTTCTCCAGGATCACCCTCTTATATAGCATATATGGATATAGCATTTTCTTACGTCTATGCAATTGATAACTTCCATAATAAGAATTACACCAATAGAACTAGAATGGTAATAAATCACAGGAAAGAAAAAAAAAAGGAAATACCAGCAAAAACTAACAAATACAGAGGGCTCATATCTACCTGCAAGATTTGCCATTGCCATTACTGAGATCGATCGATATAATAATATTTCATCATTTTAGTTCTTATATTTGCAACCTTCTAAAGCTAATCAACAAAAACCCCAACCATTAAGCATATAAGTACAAAATTCACATTAAAAAATTACCCTATGAAAAGCGCAGCAAATCAGGCACAAAAGATAAAACTTCATAAGAAATTTTATCTACGTTAGGCCCAAAAAACAAACTTTATGACTATTTAACAGATTCTGCACATAACAAGAAGCATTAAGAAACACCATTTTCCTGTTTCACAATCACAATAGATCAATTCAACAAGTCACAGAGCCTAAGAACGCCTAGCTTTCAAAACCGAAAAGAAAGGCCAGAAAATACGAGGAAACGAATGGACAGAAAGGACGAACCTTGGGTCGGCCAGGTTGGCTAAGAGGATTGAAGAGCCAATGGAAGAAAGCGATGATTGGAAAAGCAGCAAAGAAGAAAACGCAAGGTCGAAGAATATAAAGAACAACGGGATTTCACGGTGAGACAAATGCAAAAGGAATAACTTAGTTTGAAACAAATTTTTAGACATATTTTTCTACATAAAACAAATATTAGGCATATTTTTGTATTTTCAGATCAAAAAATATTTTAACTTAATTTGATTATATTAGAGATAAGATCGAATGGCTTTGAGCTGATCTTAATGTGGGTCAAATTATCTACAGTGCTATACACAATCAAAATATTGAGAATTTAATAAGTCATTTAAAATTCTAAGTATAATTATACTATAGAGAAGCATATAAATTTTTTTAATGAATATTTTTTTAATGCTACACACAAATTATTATTATTATTATTATTATTATTATTATTTCTTATTGGTTTCTTAAAACTAATCTTTCTTTTTGGAGAAAACTCAACTTTTATTTCCACATGAATTTGAGCTCTCTTCCGGGAAAGAAATTACGTGCGGAGACTGAACACTTACAGCCATTCAGATTTATCTCTGTAAATAGAAAAAACATAGCGGTGAATGGTAAAATCGAAGTTCACAGCGCTTTTACTGTTCGTAGATATTAACCAGACGGTTCTTTGGGTCCCACCTCCACACATAATTAATTCATCCTCTTCCGATGCTGGCTTTAGATGGTGATTCCTGCATTGATGGACACAACAATTCATAACTCATGATTTATAGTTTATAAGTTGAACTAATTAATACACTAAGAGGATAGTAGCTTTTGGAATAAAAAATATTTACTAGTATATTTAATCTGCTAAATGGATTTTTGAGTAGGCATATAATAAATACTAATTGTTATTATTTTTTTGTGGAGAGTGCTCAATAGTTGTGGATGTCTTAATCTCTCCTTTCGATATCTTATCAGTGGCATTTCTTAATCCTAATGTATGCTAAGCAGCTATGTTCTTTCCAACACGGATCGGTTCAGTAGTTCACCAGTGAACTGTTGGTTTTTACTGATTCAATGCGGTTCGACGCGAAGTCGATTTTGTAAGCTTGATCGGACTGGACACCCAACCGGCTCACGGTTAAGCCGGCCAGTACGGTCTAGTTTTCAAAACAATGGAATTGACATAACTATTTATAATTCTTTATCACTCCTGAAATTCTTGCTAATTGACATAACTAATTTGATCCAATATCTCTTTTATATATTTATTTAATTAAATATCACTTGAAGTTATTTATGGATGAAAATATCCTTCGAGACGTGTAAAATCTCAACTTACTCAAAGTACAGTAATAACCTTCTTAACTCTTTCATATGCAATCCTAAAGCTCCCCAAACCTGACTTGCTTCTTTCGGAATTGATAGAATCGTTGACGGCATAGGAAAGCCTAGCTACAATTATGCCCCAAAAGATGGAATAATTATTATGTCCGGTCAAATCCGAACTATCTGAATATATACCGAGCAATACCGAGTTTTTAGGTGACGTGGAGCGTGCTTATTGGTCTATGAACGCATTCGATCACCAGTCGTAATAATTGCTCCAAAATATGACATAAAAGATTTAACGGCTATAGTAAGGGTTTCCTTTAGCCAAGAATCATTTTTCATGTGTGCTAGAATATTCATGATTAAAGTTAGAGATTTTATTATTTTAGTATTATACAAAGATCCAATATATAAATAAAAGATAAGTTGCAAGAGACATTATAATTTTATATGAACAAATCGAAAAGAGACACCATAAGGTCTGATTTGGTTGAAGTGATTCCATTATTATTTGTTATTGATTACAAATAATATATTTTATGGATGAAAGGTGCTCATACAATATAATAAATATATAATATATAGAATATATTGTATAATGAAAGTTGGAAGAGCTTAATTGCATGATACATGTCTTTAAGAGATTATTTAATTTTTTATTTGGCCATACTACTTTGAGTAAGGGAGACTATATGCCAAGAAGTTCATTATAAATCTTGGTGTTGATGTTAGGATTCATAGTTGGTGCTAATGATACGCATCAATCTTACAGACGATGTTGTGTGTAGTCGAGTGATGGTGGTAAAAAAATCATTGTAGATCGATGGTGGTTGGAGGGTTGTAATAAGACGATCATGTTCGATAGACCATGGTCGGACAATGGTGATTAGAGAATCATAGTCAAACGATGGCGGTCACAAGATGCTTGTAGAGGTAGTCAGGCGATAATATTGGAAGACTATAGTCAAGTGATGGTAATCGGAGGATCATAGTCAGACGATGATAATTAGATGACCGTATTCGAGCAACTATGGTTGGAGATTCATAAATAGATGACAGTGGTGAGAAGTCCGCAGTCAGATAATGGTGATCAAAGGATCGTAGTCACGCTAAGGTGGTTAATCGATCATCGTCAAGGTGATGGAAACCCTGTAATGGTCAAACGACAGTGGTCAATAATGGATTGAAAATGACAATCAGATGATGGTTTGATGGCGGCAATCAAACATTATTGAAGTGGTAGTTTGATGGTGACTGTTAGGTTGTGGTTCGATAGTGGAGTTCGAGTAGTGGTGCTTGGATGGTGCTCTGAGATTTCTTCAACCTTTTGAGATCTCTTGAATCTCAATCCAATGTTCAAACTCCAAGCCTTCATGTAGAGAGTGATGACCTATTTGTAGATATTTTTAGAGTGATATACCTCATAAATATAGGAAAAATCTCAAAAACTCAAACAAAACTGTCCATTCTCTTAATCATAGATTATTTTCTCAATATTTAAGTACCTTAGTAATGTCATAATTATACGATTGTGGGTTTGTTGGATTTGTCTCGTCGAGATGCTTAGTTCGTTTATATAAATGCAAGATTTGAAGATTGTTTGGTGCTCCACTTAATCTCCCAAAGTCTCCTATTGCACTTCAATTATTCCATTGGGCTCATTTAGACATGGAACAATCCACATTTAATGTTGGTGGGTTTGTCTTGTTGAAAAGTTTGATTTGACTATAAATTTGTTGAAATCAAATATGATGGCCCTGAATCTAATTTCAAAAAAATTATTTTAAATATACCTCAAGATCTGTGCCCGACCAAATTAATTTTTTTGATGTATCATCGATAAACTTTTATTTATTTATTTTTTAAATACAATCGCACTAAATGAGAAAAAAAAAAAGAAGCACAATAACTTATCCTCGTTGGGGAGCCACACAGATGTTACAATTCTTTCATTCGTAAGTAAATTATTCTTTGGTAGGAATTTTCTAAGACCAAAATGAGCGGCCAAAAAATAAGGTTCTGTACTTAGTCTCTCTCTTTCTCTCTTCTTTGATGATCCTCTTTATTTGTTAGTGTTTTTCTTTTCATGGTGTTTGGTCATAAGGTGCTCAAATGTTATACGATTACATTTAAAGTTGAGATTTCAGTGAAAAAATGAATCAATTTTTGATTCAAATCTTATTCAAAGGAGTAAGGGTAGAGAACACCACCGGACTCAGGAATTGCGACTCTCTCAACCTGGTTGCAGACCGGAAGGATGAAGACTGTCGTCCAAAGAAGAAAAAAGCAATTCGATCATCCTTGCCCTTCAGCCAAAGAGACTGGTTGAAAAAAACCTGCAGCAGAAGAATCACGAGGCAACCAACCCAGCCAAGGCAGTCAAGAAACTACGAGAAAAACCAACAGAAAGTCCAGCCAAAGCAGAAACAGCGAACAGAAAAGAGACTTAGAGTAAATCCAGCAGCATAAACCCAATATTTCACGAGGCAACCAACCCAGCCAAGACAGCTAAGAAACAACCAGCAAAACCAACAGAAAGTTTAGCCAAAGCAGAACCAGCAAAGAGAACAGAGACTTATAATAAGTCTAGCAGCATAAACCCATTTTTCCATTTCATGACCTTGGCAAAAACAGCAGCTTTAATCTTAAGAGCTAAGGTAGAAGAAGATATAGAAATCTGGCCAAACCTTCTATCATTCCTTTCTCTCCAAATATGATAGACCGAGCAATAAATAATGAGGAAGTAAAAATTTTTGTTATCAATATGCATCTCATCAATGAACTCAAAAATTTGTAAAATATTTGGCCTAAGCAGAAGATACCCCAAATTACTCATAAGGTTAGAAAGCACAAAGAAGGAATAGTCACATTCAAAGAATAAATGTGAAGCACATTCATTAGAACAATGACATAAGTGGCAAATAGCATCCACCATAATACCTTTAGCAATAAGAACATCAGCCGTCTTAATATCCCCAATAATGGCCATCCAACAGTAGGAAGAATAGCTCAGTTCAAAATGTTTATGCCAAACGGAATGGTGCCAGTTAACTTTTGCATAATCAATATAAAAAAATCCCTGAAAGCTCGAGTATTACTAATCTTACTATCCCCAAACTGAATAACAGGAGTGTCCGAAAGCACAGGAATAGAAGATATTACACGGGCAGTAGCAACAGGTAAGGTGGAGGGCAAATTCCACCCATTGTCATTCAGAATAACAGAGAGTTTTTCATTAACAGGAAAGAGACCAATAACGGGTTGCACCTCCAAAACATCATGTAAACATTTATCATTAAACCAGTGATCCCAATAAAGGGATAAATGTGAATTTGGGGTAATCTTGAAATGAAATTTTTCTTTGCAACCTTAGCATCCCTACAAATACATTTCCAAAATTTGGAAGCTTTGGAGACAGGATCTTTCCAAGGAGAAATATAAGAGTTAAACAGCCACATAGCCAGTGGGCTATGAAAATTATAGATTCTCACAATGAGTGAGCAGTTAAAACTGAATTGAAGAGATTGCAAGGAAGGCAACCCGAGGCCTCCAGCATCAATAGGTTTACAGGTATTACGCCAAGATACCAAATGTAACTTCCAACCAGTTGTTTCTCCA